CAAAATCCAAAAAAGGGTCTGCAATGTAATAGACATATAGTCTAGGAAAAGATTTAATTGTAGCATCTATAGTCTAGAAAAATAATTAATTGTAACACATATATTCTAAGGAAGAATTTAATTTTAGCACCTACAGTCTAGGAAAAGATTAAAATGTAATTTCTATAGTCTACAAAAAGATTCAATTGTAACACCAGTTTCTTGGAAAAGATTAAAATGCAACATCTATAGTCTAGGAAAAGAGTTCATTGTAATATCTATAGTAAAGGAGAATATTAAACAGTAACACCTATGACTTGGAAAAGCGTAACATCTAGTTTAGAGAACACACTCCTAGGTGTGTTCCATAAACTAAATGTTACACTTAACATTTAGTTTACAGAACACGCCTAGGAATGTGTTCTCTAAATTGATCACAAACAAGAAGAGAACGCCTGTTTTTTGTGTGTGTGTTATTTTATTGTTGTTCATTCAATAAAGGCACAAGAGCCACTCAAAGTAGAAAGTTACTGAATTAGGATTATCGTAAGTAAATAATAGTTAACCCTAGACTTGAAGAGGTTAAGACTGCAGTGATCGGGAAAGCATCCTCTCAGGAGTTTGTTCCACAATGTAACGGTTCTTAGGAAGTAGTTGTTCGAATGGAATTTCCTTCTCTCCAACGGAATAACTTGCCTATAAATTTTGTAGCCACTGTTTTTTGCAGCTTATGTGTATATGAACAGATACCTCCTTTCGAACAGAATATCAAAAATAGTGGCAGTATTAAAACAGGTCAATAACCATTTTTTAAACAGGTTTTTTAATGGTCATAGAAGAAATCAAAATTAAAGGGAGATAATTTATTATATCTAAATAGTGCTTTTCTTAAACATTGTACACTTTAATTTGATTGTTGCTTATTTACAATAATGAATGATTGACAAAGTCATTTGGTTTGCTTAAGCAGATTATGTTGAAAATGTTGAAATCAGTTAAAACCAGAAAATTGATTGTCTTTTTTGTCGGGTAACGAAAGTAAAATATAAATAGAAAAGGATTAAATTATAAACATTAAAATGAGCCAATAAAAAGAATATAACAAATTAATAATGAAGACTTTTCATTTCATTTGTTTACGTATGTATTTTTTTGGATGGGATAAGTTTTTAAATGAGTTTGTTTTTCGCCATTTTTTACTGATTTTTAAATCTTCCTAGAATAAAAGCAAAATATTAAGCAACATTAAGTGAATGAAGAGTGGGTGATGAATTTATGGAGAAAAAGATATTCATTATCGTAAGTAAACAACAAACATTTTTAAATGATCATTCATCAAAATTCAGTTAACGCATTTTGCGCCTTCATCTCACAATTGTGGTTCATGACGACATTCAAAACAGAATATTACAATGGCTTACCGGTTCCTTTTACACGGAAGATATTGAGGTTACCCCGTCTCTCCTCTCAGAAGTTAAAAGTTCTATGCTAGTTAGTCAACCAGGGACCAGTCTGACTGGGGGAAGAGATGGATTCATACCAAAATACCCAAAGGTATTAGAACGTAAGCAAATGCAATGAACCCGAATGGAATTCGAACTCAGCTTTCTGATTTCTCAATCCGTGATACAATCCATTACTCCATCGTACCTCCATACTTTTAAGTCTCTTCTTCATCCAAGGGGAGATAATTCAACGTTCGCTGACATGCGGTAGAATTGATATCAGGTTGGTGCAAAAGTAATGAAAAAGCCCATGATTATGAAAATATTTATTCGATAACATAACCTCTTTTCCTTTTTCATTTAATCTGTAAACAAGCTTATAAATGCCACGCCAGTAAAATTCCTTAGGTTTTGAATCAAAATATGAATCAAACTCATTTTCACCCTCTTCTCTTGATGTCAACCTAAGGCCATCCAAATGAACCTGTAGTTCCTGAAACAAGTGATAATCAGAAGGAACAAGATCAGGAGAATATGATGGATGAAGCAATATTTCCCAACTAAGTTCTTCCAAAAGATTTTTAGTCATCCGACCTGTGTGAGGACGAGCATTACCGTGATAGATGAAGACAACTTTTTTGTTCACTAAGAAGGTTGTTTTTGGTTCAAAGCTGTTTTCAAACGACAAAGACGATCTCAGTACAGATTAGCTGTAAATGTTTGATTGTTTTAATGGACAATTACGAAGTGTTAAGTGGACAATTGAAGCTTTTATGGTGCATAGACCTGCGAAATCATATATAAATAAATAAATCCACATTATAATAAAAAATGTTTGCGGTTTCTTGCATTTTTTAAAATATATATTTTTATATCGTTAAATCAATTATAACCTTTTCTATATATATATATATATATATATATATATATATATATATATATATATATATATATATATATATATATATAGAGAGAGAGAGAGAGAGAGAGAGAGCACGAGAGAGAGGTGAAGTAGTGGATAGCGTCTCGGATTGAGGAATCGGAGATCCCAGGTCGAATTCAGTTCGAATATATATATATATATATATATATATATATATACAGTACAATTTTAAGGAAATTATAGCCTGTTTCATCAACGTAAATCCATTCATTTTCTTACATAAGCCATTATCACAGATATTTTCTATGATATTTTTTCGGACATTCAGGCCGGTAAATGTAGTTAATACTGTTTATTATAAACAGACCACTTACTTAAATATTTGTATCTATAAAAAAACGTATAAACAGAAAATTTATTAAAATAAATGTCTGAGCCCTTAGAATATATTTCAGATATATATATATATATATATATATATATATATATATATATATATATATATATATATATATATACACAGAGGGTACGTACGTATGTACGTACGCGCAGACATACATTGTGAAAAAAAATGCACAATGATAAGAAGTGCATATAAAAAAAGAAAAATCGACATGGAATGAATTTGACAGAAGAGTTAAAAAAGAAAATGAAAAAGAGCTCTTAGGGTCATTCAAAAAAGAATGGAACCAATTATCAAACTTGTACTTTGAAAAACTTTTGCAAAAAATACCAAACATTTGTGCTACAGCAATCAAGGCTGAAGGAGGATATTTTGAGGAGTGAAAAATTTAATCATAAAAATGCTTTTTTTCTTTTTCTCATAATACAATTTATAATAAAAAAAATTACGTGTAACTTTTTTAATCATGTATAATAATTTTCCCTTATTTAAAGTACAAAGCAACTACTTTTGAGGCCAATTTAAAATATGACCAGGAGTGGCCTCAAACTTTTGAACTGTAGTGTATATATGTGTGTATGCGTGATAGGATAAGGGGCAACTAGGAAACGTTTATACATCTAACATGTTTCGCCTTTATTAAAGATTCATCAGAGAAGAAGATATGGAGGTGAAAAAGAAAGAAAAAAAAAGAAAAATTCTGATATTTTTAATTTTTGTCAACTAATAAGCATTTTTATTTAAATTTTCATGTGTTCGTACGAGTATTTTCTTCTCTGGGCATAATGTCCAACTGTATTTACGAGTCCAAATGCCCCTTAATGTTCCTGATCAAACCAAACTCATAAATAATTATATTCATCATATTACTACATACATCTCGACGACTCCCGTTTCACCTACCTGACCATAGCTCAATTAGGACTCATTTAAACACATGCGAAAACCTACTAAACGTCATCCGCAATATTGCTAGGAGAATATACAAGTTTAATAGATTCATCGACATATACAAAAAAAAAAAGATTAAAAATAATGGAAGTCCTAATAGTAAAAAAAAAAACCCGAAAAGCCAACACTCAGTAACAATAACTACGAACACGACCACAGTGTGCTGGCTGTGTTCGGAAAGTAAAATATTCCTATAGACATATACATAAAAAAAACCTCACACATTCAGTTAAAAATAAAAATCGCCTTTGATAATGGTTAAAAAGAATAGGCGAAAACGAGGATATACAGAACTTCTGAACAGTTTTTTTTACACATTTTGTGTCCCGAAAAGAAAACGTTTTTAAATAAAATGTTTAATCGCAGAACCTTATCAGTATTCTTTAACGAAACTTGTATAAAAGAGGATTACTGCCTAAAATACACAAATACACAATATATATATATATATATATATATATATATATACTACAGTTCAAAAGTTTGAAACCACCCTCAGAATTAGCATTGAATGATGTTGACAGAAGAATTTTAAAAAAATTGAAATGTATATATATATATATATATATATATATATATATATATATATATATATATATATAGAGAGAGAGAGAGAGAGAGAGTTTTCAACTTCATTCCATGCTAATTCTGAGGGTGGCTTCAAACTTTTGAACTGTAAATAAAGCAAAAACATATATAAATTTGCTATTAACAACTAATCACACCTACTTAACCGTACTTAATAATAGCCAACCCACCTCTTCTGTGTTTCACACTCAAACACGCTTTCGTGTGAGTGTATCAGTGTTTGTGTGTGTGCATGTGCGTGTGCAAATTTTTAAACCTATCAAATCTAAAAAAAAATAAATGTTTATTGTTTTCTTTTGTCATTTTCGTCTCACGTTTTAAATTTCCGGGAACGTCACTGCTATATAAATTCGATGTTCAAAAAATTTTCATCAGATTTTTCCAACCAAATGCACAAACGAAGAACTCGTTAGTTGACCAAAAATCTAAAACTCATTGACAATTAAGGATCTTAAGAAGTTAGTATGTTTTTCTTTATCTCTTTATTTTCTTTCTTTACTATGTTGCATTTTATTTCCCTTCATCTTTTTTTTTCATTTTTTTTTTTTTTTTTGCTTCTTTCTTTATTTTCAAATTGTTTTATCTTCTTGGTACTTGTCGCATTATTTGTACCTTATTTTCTCTTTGAAAGAACGCTGTTGTATTTTTAACATTGCAAGTAATTCTTATTTAAATTTCTCTCAAATACATACGACATACATTCTGCCATTATAGAATGGTGCACACGGAGCCAAGATCGTCCCCGATTTGCTTACGGCCAAATCACGTTGAAACATCGGTTCCCGTACGATCACCGAAGTTAAGCAACGTCGAGCCTGTTCAGTACCTAGGTGGCTGCCTGCTTGGGAACACCAGGTGCTGTAAGTTTGGATGTAATGTCCAGTGTCTCGGAATTGTTAATCGGAGAGCCGGATCCCAATTTCCGTTGGGTTCGTCGTTATATTGACTTACTCGCAAATGCTCTTGGGAAAAGTACGAATCCACCTCTTCTCCTACCAGCTATGGGTTAATTAGTAAGACTTGTATCCCTAGACAATTGTTTTTTTGTAAAACAGAAAAACCATTTACCGAATGTCTGCTTTGAATCGTAAAAAAAATGCAATCAATCTGACACAGAAAAGATTTAATTGATTTTTATAAATAAAATATATTAAGAAAAGACATTTAAAGAAAATCTTTAGAAAAAACATTTTCGATGAATTATGAATTTTTACAAGGATCGTTATGATTTTCTCATTTTAATTGGGATATTTTATTAACTTTTAAATTTTTTAAATTCTTTATTAATTTCACCATTTTACAGGATAAATATTAAGTATAATTATAATTTATTAAGTAAAAATTATATTTACTAATCATAAATTGAAAAGCTTAGTACAATTCATCAAACATTAATATTTTTAAAAGAATTAAAGTTTTTTCAAATTGAATAATATTTTTTCAAATCAGATTAATTATACTAATCAGCTAATATTCCTTAAATAACATTTCAGGTAAGTATATGTTATTTTTGGAGGACTTTTTAATAAAGAGAATTATATCGCGATAAAGGGGTCTCAAGATGGCGCTGAAATGATTTATTTTTTACCAAAAGAAAACTCCTTCCAGTCAATTTAAATTAGTTTTGAAATGGAGCAAATTATTTTGCTTATTATAAATATTAAATTTAATCTATTAGCTTGAAATTCAAACTAAAATAATAACTTCAAGAAAGATTTTCATTTTTAAAAAGTAGGCAACACGAATATATATAATATATATATATATATTTTATATATATAATTATATTTATATATATATATATATATATATATATATATATATATATATATATATATAATTACCTATCGTAATAAAAAATATCGTAATATTTAAATTCATGGATGGTTTGATGTAAGTACAATTACTGTCAGATAAAAATCAATTAAAAATATTTTTATTTAGCTTTTTTACTTTTATTTTTATTTTTCATTTATATATATATATATATATATATATATATATATATGTGAAAAGTGTATATAAATATAAATAAATATATATATGTGTGTATATATATATATATATATATATATATATATATATATATATATACTATCCAGCTATAAAGTCTGGTGTGGGTGTGTAGCACTGGAGCTGAAAACTAATCAGAATTGTCCTGTTGGCCTTAATCGATGATAAATGTTATTGAGCCGATAAGTATTGTATGTCAAAATAAAATCTTCTATGTGCCGTGTCCCTTCAGGACGTTGGCGATCATGGTTCTCCACAACTTTCTGTCCTTTCTAGATCTTAATAAATTTTGTCTTTTTGTTATCACTTCTAAACCTGCAATCTACTCGACCACGGTAGGTAGTTTATGCATTGTTGTCCTCCATATTGTCCTCCCGTTTTCCTCATAATGTGCCCATGAAATTTCAACTATCTCTTTCCAAAGTAAAGTATGCGTTTCCATTTTGTTTTTATTTTCTCTGGGACTTCGCCATTGCTCACATGTGCTGTACATGTATCCTCAGCATCCCTCTGCAGAATCACATTTCTGTTGCTTCAAGTTTCTTCTTGATCTCTGAGAAATGCTCATTCCATGAGGGGGACAAATAAAAAATTAGAAATCTTTATTTGGCATCTTTTAGTACTAATTTACTCCCTCATCAATATTAGCATCTGATTTATCATCCCATCCCATTTAACACCTCTCCCTTCTCCTCCTCACACATTGTCATTTTGTGACACTTTGCTTCCGGTTGCAATACTTCAACTTTAGCTGTCTTAGAAAGTAATGTTTATCATTGTCACGTCTCAATAGGAAAACGTTTGAATCTGATCAAGACAAGGAATATCCAACGGTAGAGTATGACACTAACATTATAAGAAATACGAGTGCACTGTTTGTGGTTGGGAAATATTCGGGGATATTTCACCCCTAAGGCGAACTTCAGCGTTATCTACGAACCTTTAATTAATGCCTTTGCACGATAACTTTTAACCAGCCCTGCATGTAAACGCCAGTATCAGATAATCTGTAACGCCAAACATGTTGCGCCAAGTTTTTTTATTCATATCTAAAAGTGTAGACATGATGAACCTTTCATATTTTGCATATGTGACGCAAAAGTATAGAATAAATACTTTTATATAGTTAAAACGACTTGTATATTTTTACACAGTCTTAAATATATATCTGTCTGTGTGCGTGTGTGCGTGTGTGTGTGTGTGGACATTAATATCAATACCCAGTGGCGACAGACAGTTTCATACTAAACACAACTATCAAGCCATGTGCGTTGTGTTTTGCTCGTCTATTTATATATATAGGTCAGAGATGCACGGTGAGCGGTCACAGTTCTGTTTCAAATTATTCGAGCAAAAACACAATGCTCATGGCCTGACGATTATATTTAGCATGAAACAGACTGTCGCCTCTGATGTTGACTTAAATGTCCACTTTTATATTTACATACGCTTTATCTCTGGTATTGAACACTTTGATCCATAAATATAGTATACATTAAAACTATATTTTGTCATATATAAGTGTGTGTGCATGTGTGTGTGTGTGTTAATCAGTTCACCCGCAAGCAAGGCATTAATGCCACTAAGTGATTACTGGTAGTGAAGGGAAATACAAAGGAAAATTTTCGCTTGAGGATGAAACAGGGCTTGTTACTTTAATTCAATTTAATTTTAATAATTATATTGAGGGTTTCGGCTCTCGTTTTTGAAACATGAGAACTCTTATGTAGCGAAGGAATCATTTTTTTTTAAATAATTATAATTTAAGCTCTACTTCTGTATGGAGTACTGTTTTTTTAAAAATAAAAACAGAAATACTAAAGAACTCCGGATTATTTACCTAACGTGTTCTTTCCTATTTTCTACATATACCACACACACACACATATATATATATATATATATATATATATATATATATATATATATATTCGCCCCTCCGCCTTGTTTCTCTTAATTCTCTCATATATATATATATATATATATATATATATATATATATATATATATATATAATCATGTCTCACTGAATAATTTAAACAATTTTGTCTACTTATTATCAATAGGCTCCTCTCATATTCACGGACAGGCTTCTTAGTATCCTTATTAAAGGAAGAGAAAAACTTTCCATGTTATTACATATTCATTTATTCCGAGTACTTTTGACATTAGCACAATGTCATCATCAGGGTGTTGTTTTTTCTAAGACAAAAATTGTTGTGTTCATCTTTTTGGCAAGAAAATAACATGTACTAAATTTCTTACTGTTATGGGACCTTACCCATAATAACATAATGGACTATTCCATACGTAATAAATACTGCGCCTCAAGAGGAAGCAGGGATTTCAGTCTGAAGTCGGGCGACTGGCTGACCGGCTGATCGGTTGAACTCTCTGCCTTCGGGCGGGGAGGAACCCGAACGAGGCTACGCCGAAGGGCGGAGTCTCTTTCGGGGAGGTAAACCTACCCTGAACCCGTTTATACAGGTTCAAATGGCATATTTTTGGCCGAGCCCACGGGCTCGGAGACCCCACGTTAAACCGTCTTTGTGCCACATGATGCCCTTGTGGGGGTGGTGACTAAATCCCGTTCAGTCTGAAGTCGGACGACCGGCTGATCGGTTGAATTCTCTGCCTTTGGGCAGGGAGGAACCCGAACGTGGCTATGCTGAAGGGCGGAGTCTCTTTCGGGGAGGTAAACCGACCCTGAAGCCGTTTATACGGGTTCAAAGGGCATATTTTTGACCGAGCCCTTGAGATCCCATTTTAAACCGGCCTTGTGCCACATGATAACCTCGTGTGGGGTGACTAAATACTGTTCAGTCTGAAGTCTGGAGTGAAGTCCGTCAAGAGTCTGTCAGTCGAGTCAGAGCGAGCGAGTCAGTCAGTCGAGTCAGAGGCAGTCCGAAACAGAGTCGCGTTCAGACAATTACTACTAAACCTGATTGTTCGTACTAACACTTTCTACTTCTCTGTATATATTCCTGTTTGTAATATATCTGTGTTATTCCATATCCGTGTTCGAATTCTTTATTGGTTCTACCTTGGAACCGGACCATAACACTTACTTAAAGAAACTTAGAATGTTCCTAAATCAATATTTGTTCATGTCAATTTTTATCATCTAAAATCACTTCGATGATGCCTTGATTGATCTTTGCCGACAACATTTAAAAGCTGTATCTTAAATATCTTTGAAAAATAAAATATCAGCTTTAGAAATATAAATCAACCAATATTAGTCAAGCTAATGATCACTTACCCGGATTTTCAGGAAAATATATCTTAATTTTCACTTTAAATATTGTGAAAAATTAAATATTTTTGCCTGTAAACTGTTCAAGATATCAAAGAGTTTTACGTCACTTTTCTTACTGAAAAAGTTGAAAGGCTGCTTAGTTTTAATGGTGACCTGTGGGAAACCTAATATTATGCACAATAACAATACATATATTTAGCATTAAAATGCAATAGTCTAATTTTACCAGAATTATCAGAATAGAACTCGGAGTACATAATTGATGCATATAACTATTAAGTGTACATTACTATTGGACACATTATCAGAAATAGGTAAGATAGATACGAACAGATTGCGATAGATAGACACATACATACATACATATGTACGTACGAACAGGCTAGGATAGATAGATAGATAGATAGATAGATAGATAGATAGATAGATACGAAAAGACTGGGGTTTTTTGCAGGTTATTTAATGTCGATATCTAAATATTTTTTGCATAAATTTTTATTTTCTTTTTAGAAATAATGATGGTTTAGTGACGCAAGTCTTGATAATTAACCTTAGCTGTGGGAGAAGAGGTGGATTCATACCTTTCCCAAGGG